CCTTTTCGTATCTGAGTTTTATCATGAGCTCCTTGTTCATCCATACACGCCTCTTGCCACCTGTAATCTATCCCCATGTTTAGGAAGTTAAGCGTTATTGAGCTTGGAGGAGGTAAGCCCTGAAAACCAACCAGCTCTCCTAGATGCCTCTTCTCTCCAGGACTGTAACCCACTGGATTCTTCCAAGCAGGTCTCTGAACAGGCCAAAGCCTGCTCTCCTGAAGTCCAGAGTTGTGATCCTGCTTTTTACCCTCCTCTCTCTCCACAGGATACTGAACTCCACCCCCAAACCTTCACATCCCTACCTAGTCCTTCTTTGTAGATATCAGGTCCAGCAGAGCATACCCCCTGCCAGACTTCTCGATCACCTGTGTCAAGAAGTTGGCATCAATGCACTCCAGAGACATCCTGGATTGCCTATGCCCTGCTGTCTTGGCTGTCCAGCTGACATCAGGGTAGTTAAAGTCCTCCATGAGGACTAGCGCCTCAAATATGAGGCTTCTTCCAGCTGTTTGAAGAAGACCTCATTATCTACTTCTTCCTGATCAGGCAGTCTGTAGCAGACATCCACAACAATGTTGTCTTCATTGGTCTGCCCACTAACCCAGACCCATAAGCTCTCAGCTGGATCATCATCTGCCTTAAGGCAGAGCTCCATGCCTTCCTGCTGCCATTTCACAAAAAGGAGAAATTTCTTTCCTCACCTTCCCAGCCTGACTTTCCTAAGGAGCTTGTATCCATCCATTGCAATAATCCAGTTGTGTGAGCTAGCCCACCACGTCTTTGTGATCCCAATGCAACTGGATGCAGATCTCTGACTCTTCCTGTTTGCTCCCCATACTGCATGCATTGGTGTACAGAGAGGCAGCTGTGCTGACTTGCCAGAGAAGATATGTGAGCTTTCTCCATAATCCTGTCCTCTTGGCACTTCCTGGTGCATACGCTTGGGGTCGGCCCCCTTCTGCTCTGTTTTGTTGATCATAAGGTCTCTCTTGCCTGCACTATTTGCTTACCAACCCGGTCCACCACTTTCTCACTTGATTATGGGTTGTCGTCACCCTCTGCCCCTCCTCCCTGTTGCTCCTAGTTTAAAGTTCTCCTCACCAGTCTGGGGAGCCTGTTGGCAAAGACACTTTGCCTCACTTTGTCAAGTGGATCTCATCTCTTCCTAGCAGCCCTTAATACTCAAAGAGAGTCCCATGGTCATAAAAGTCGAATCCTTGTTGACAACACCAGCTGCACAAACCTTTGTTGACCAACAGGATCCATTAATTCCGCTCCAAGCCCTCCTCCCTCACTGGGGCACCACCTGGCCCCCATGACCTTGGTCCTCACCTCCAGAGCCACATAATCACATCTGATATGTCCCAGGTCTCCCCTGGATATGTTATTGGTGCCCATGTGGAAGAACAGCAGGAGGTAATAGTCTGAGGGCAAGGCAAATCTCAGCTGCCTCTCCATAACATCCTGGACCCAAGTCCTCAGCAAGCAGCAAACCTCGCCAGACAGCAGGTTGGGTTGGTAGAGGGGGCCTCCATCCCCCGCAGCAGGGCATCACTCACTGCTATCCCTCATTGCTTCCTCCAGGTGCTGCTGCGGGGCTCACGCTCAGCTGGCTCTGATGTTTTGTCCAATAGAGCTCCCAGCCCTATCTGCTGCCAGGGCACTGACCCTGCTCTGCTGCGGCAGGTCTGCTGGCAGAGTAGGAGCTCACCCGGCTGCTGCCAGAAGTCACCAGTTTCTAGCTTTCACTGCCATGGGAGTCTCCCTTTCCCAGCCCAGTGAGCTAGGAGACTCATCCAAGAGACTCTGCCTGCCCCTCCATCCATGCTGCTGGGGGTTCAGGCTCTTGTCACTGCAGGACTCGGAGAAGATGTGGTCAATCTCTCTCTTGTCATCTCTGATGCTGGACAGTCTGCTGACCACCTAACACAGCTACTTTTCATGATGCAGACCCTCTGCCAGCGCTCACCTCCTGCAGGTGAGGAAGCCCATCTCCCCTGCCCCAGCCTTGGCCAGGGGCCCAGGCTCTCCCTGCAGCCCCAGTCCTGGAGAGCCACATCCTCCCTCGGAAGCGCAGGCTGAGGACTGTGCAGTGCCAGGCACAGCTGCCCCCATTGCTGTGGGAGAATCATGCCCTGCAGTGCACCACCACCTCTGCAGAGCCCACATATGTTCTCAGCATGGCTTCCAACCCCTTCTGCACAAACCACTGCGTAAAGTCCTACATCTGTTCCCTGCACTCCAGGCTTGGCCTTGCTGGACCCTCCCTAATTGGGAGTCAGCTGGAACAAAAGCTCAAAGCACCCTTTGATTGGGAATAGCTGACAGAGCTCATTAGCTGCTGATAGAGCTTGCTGGAAGTTGCAGCCTCCTGCAGTTAGCAGCAGGCACCCTGAAGTTCCTTAGAAAGCTCAGGTAATCAGTGGCCTAGAGACTTTCAAACATGGTTTAATATTTTAGTCAACTCTATTTCCACTGGGTTCAAAGCTTTGCCCTCCTTTAGACCTTTGTAGCAGCCATGTCCTGCCTGAATATTTCTTTTTTTGTGTTGCTAATATGTTCTAAATTGGGCAGCAAGCTAAGTTGTCATCAGTTGGAAATGATGAGCAATATAAAAAAGACCATATGATGTGGTTGTTAGCAATAGCATGTGAGAGCCTGGGCAGAGCCTCCCAATCCGATGGCACACCTCCTGCTCTAGCTTTTATTTTTAAAAGAACAATACCTTAATTCAAATAGAAAACTCAAATTAAAAAAAATCTGTTTTCAAAATAAATGATTTTTGCCTACACAAGAAACAAAGCCTGCTCCCAATCTGAGTTAATCTTACTTTCCCAGGTTCATGTGAAAAACAGGTGGCCGCTGGCATCATTCTGATATGCACATTTATGGTGCATTTTATCCACTGGAAGAGTAGAGGGGGAGAGGGTCCTGTCAGGAAGTCAGAAATTGCTATTTTGGAGGGTCTTGGGAAGAAAGAAGGATGCAAAAGTTATATCTCACCCTTCTTATGTACCTCTGCCAAAACCTAACCCTTGCTTTGAAAGAAAATGGTACAGAAAGAAAAAGCAGAGAAGATTTGATTTTTCTTGATTTTCTGGTTTCAGTGGAGCAACGCAGGATAAAGTAATGGCAGATCTTGCTCACACACTCATGGGTGCCTGAGGAATGCTAAGCAGGAGATAAGCAGCTGAGGCCTACAAAGTGGCAAATAGTTCAGATAATGCTGTTATCATTGCTATTGCTACGTAAGCCTGATAATTAATGTAAAAAAAGCACTGTAATAGATTAAACAAACCTTTTGGACAAATACCTAAGAAAGATATGTTCATGTATGTATTTTTCCACCCCCTGCTTTTATTCATCTTGTTGCATTTTACTTTAGTAGAGTTTTTTAAAAGAATCTGCTAGATCTCTTACAATTCCATGTAACTCAATTTTGTGCCAATTGTCCATGAACTGAATGGAAAAAAGGAGCCATATTTCCATTTTTTAAAGTTAAACACAACTCTCAGTTGAAAAAAAAATAAAAGAGAGACCATGAAGACACACATGTCCAGCTTGTTTGGTCAAGAGAAAAATCCAGCATTGTAGCTTTGTTGATTCATTTCCTCAGAGATTTTCCTGACTGAAATAATATTTGGGTATCAGTGACACAGGAGTAGCTGACCTTCCCTTGGCACAGAGTGCTAAGAGCAACAGAAAGGACAATTTTAAGCCAACTTTGCGCTCTCCGGTGTTTTGGAGCTCCAAGCTTTGCCCAGCCACAACAGTGCCCAACAGGATTCAAACAGCCAAGAATAGCCAAAGGCATAGGTGGGCTCCAAAACACCCTCTGTGCAGGTGACTTCCTGTGGGAAGGGGGTAGGAGTGCCCAAAGCCATCTGAGGTTGTCTTGCATCAGATGCTGGGCTCAGCCAGTTGTGTCTGTCTGTACCAGTGAACCTGTTGCCACCACTGTCCTGCAATACCCAGCTCCCTACTGGAGGAGTGGGAAGGCTGTCAGGGAGCGTGGCCAGGATTACATCTTCCTTCAGGCAGGGTAAGGTGTACAAAACACCTTGCGATACAAAACTACGCTGGTGACAAGAGGTCACTTTTTGGTTAGGGAGTTGCTCGCTTGGTGGCCTGGGACCAGGTTTAGCTTCCTCCCTAGTGTGCTCCCCATGGTGGAAGCAAGCATCCGACCCATCCCAAAGCAAGACAGACAAGGACGTAACATTGTTCCACTGCCAGATGGGTTACAAACCCATTTCTAGCAATTGATATTTGGAAGTAGTCTTACTTTTTAGGATTAACCCATTCATCTACGCTGTGATGCTTGTACACCACCACACAGCACTGACACATGATTATTTCTGGCTCTTCCTTCTCTTATATAGAGTTCTAAATAAGACTTAATTTCATCAGGTCACATCCCAAGCTGACAGGAGTGGAGATTTTTTACTGAATTTTCATTTGATATTCTGATGCAGGATATCTCCTGCATCTAATTCATCCATCTTCTTGTTTGCTCTGTCTGCTCCTCTGGATTTTCTGACAAGATTCAAAACCTTTTTCCCCTCTGTAGCATGAGAACACACAGTTTAAATACAGATATGTTCATTTGAACAGTTCATAAGATGAACGATGTGAACCTAGCTATTTTTTCCTTATTTATGTGAATAACTATGCTGACTTCAAGGGCTTTGCTTGCATGTGTAATACTGCTCATGTGAGCAAAGATGGCACAATCCTCTTCTATAAGCGGAAGTAGGAAAATTCAGCATCTATTTGGGTACTGCTTTCTGTGTTCAATAAGCAAAAGCTGACTTCATTGCACAGTAAACAGATAGGCATGCATAGCAGTAGAATCCATTGCTATACTTCCAAGGGATAAAATAACTAAATAAACCTCACATCTGATATATGGAAAGACCAGAAGGACATCGTGGTGTCCTAAGCTGTGTCTGTTTCTGTGGCACAATTTCTTTGAAGGGTATAAATTTCCTTGTTACCTTGTGGACTCCTGCTTGTATATGTCGATGATGTTTTCCACCAGGAGGTTCCTCTGCAGCCCGTACACGCCGTGTCGGTCGAGGACCACCTCATGTCTGCAGGAAGGACAGCGGAAGCGACCTCCCGAAGCCACTGTGGTGCCGCCCCTGGTCGGCAGGTACGGGTTCGAGGCCTGTTCTTGCCAAGCAGGACAAGAAGAGGTGAGTAAGGCCATGCAAAACTTTATCAAAAAGCCGTGCTTTGACAACAGCCTTTGTTCTTGGAGCACAGAGAGAGCTCCACAGTGCCTGGCCAATGCTCACTGCAATCAGTGCAGACCTCTCTCTCTCCCCTCTTCCTCCCGCAGTGTCCAAGGTCAAGCCATCCAAAGCCCATTCAGAGATTACGAAGTGCAATGGAGGAAGGAGCTGAAGCTCTTGCACATGAGGCTCACAGCACTGCAACAAGCTGTGCCGGAGACACGCGGCTCTTCCAAAAGCTCCTGAACAAAAACAAGTCTGTGGCAAAACCGTTGTAAATATGCGCAGCGAGAGGGTAGTTCCGATAAGCAAACACCAGAAAAACATCTAGTGAATACAGGAGGAAGGGCTGGTTCTGCCGTTCATGCGTATAGCCATTTCGGCACAGCTTAACGGGTAGCAATTCATATTGGTGCAAGCACTACCTGAACCCCGAGGAAGCCAGACCTTGGGGACGTTTCCTAAGTGCGACTTCTGCTAATGCTTCAAACCAGCGCCCCCAGCCTTACCGGCTATTAACAGCAATCAAATCACACAAGTGAAATTGTGCTTTTCCATTCATTTAAACAAGTGCTGCCTGTGCCTACAGAAGTAGCTTTTGCTGGAATAAACCTACCTGGAAAATGTCGCTGGCACATTTTCTGCACAGGTTGTGCTGACAGGGCAGGATGACCACAGGCTTCGTAAACATCTCTAAGCAGATAGGGCAAATCAGTTGTTTCTCCAAGTTATCCATGGTCTGCTGCTCTTTGGAAAAGGACTTGTAGTTCAGAGAGGTGCTCATGCCTAGCTTTTCCAGGGGCATACGCTCAGGATCACGGCGCTGCTGATCGGTTTCCGGGTTAATTTCCCTTGAAATAAATCCAAGGCTCTGGGGCGCTCAGCCGCTCGCCGCCTCGCTCTCGCCGGAGGACATTGTTCAAGCGAGGGGCTGCGGG